CCGGTGTTGACAAAACACTGTTACTATCGAATGTTCCATATATTTACTTGCTGACCTACTAAGTAGAGTATCTACCTATGTGGTACGGATCGGGTCTGCCCCATGTAGTGCCGCGGAATGGGATAGTGCAGAGTACGAAATACCGAGAAGGACCAGGGTATCCTTCATAATCCGGTTGAGAAGCGAGGATGGGGGTAAGCCAATGCCGCACCAGACCACGGATGAATTCGGTATGTGTTGGCTGGCCTGGATCGGAAGTATCATAGTCGGAACCAACAAGCGCGATGATTTGGTTTGAACCGATATTTGTAAGTAGTACTTCAACAGCGTGATTAGCCGGGGTATGGGGAACATCTGTTGATTTGTCAGGGACGGGTGAGGGTACGGTGGTTCTTCAACATGCTGGAGAAAAGATGCAAGGTGTTCGTGGAGGGTCCAGATACCGTGGAAGTCGTGGCACTCCTGTAATTGCTGAAGGAGGTCAGGGCCAATGGGCGGCAGTTTCGGGCCTACCAGGATGCGTCGAATCAGTTGTTGGATGCAGGTAAAGTAGCTGGTAGTGAACTTGTGGCTACCGGGGCAAACAGGGCAGAGACAGCCGTCGGTGCGGTAGTCGATCAATGTGAACATGTACGTATTTGTTACAATCATAGCACAGAGCCGGATTGGTGTAGACTCGAAGCAGCGATTGAAGCTGTCGTGTCTGGTTGTGTCTCGGTTTGAGGTTGGCGGTTTACCCATAACCAGTTGGTAGTAGCATTGGCGCCGGGCCATTGCCGCGATCTCCTTGTTGGACCAACGTTTTGTTGAGTTCTTCCTGATGTCGCCACAGCGTTGGCGGAGGGCTACATGGTCGGGTGTACGCCCGCCCGTGGTTTTGTATACAGTTTTCAGGTGAGTATAGATACTGTACGGGAAGCGCAGTGATGGTTTATCGTGTAGGTCAACAAGCGAAATATATGGAACATTCGATAGTAACAGTGTTTTGTCAACACCGGCCCGAATTGACTCAGCGCATATCTTCCATTGTCGACTCACTTGGCCCAAGCTTCAAACGGGAATTTACTGACCACTTCTTCCCATCAATCTTTCCTGAACCACTACAGCGACTATGAGAGCCATACCATATGTTCATACATTGAAACATACATACTTGTCATTTTTGAAATAAATTATATTATCCCTAAAGCCAGGTCCTCAAATTTCTTGTTTAACTGAACGTGTTGCACTTAAGTGTGACATAGAAAAATCAATAGACAATACGCATATAACTTGTTTGTATAAAACAGTAATATCATATTTATTGGTCATAGAATGGCCAAACCAATCTATTTATTTTAGATACGTCTTCAATATGATTGTGCAATTGGGATGAGTGATTTGTTCGCTTTTGGAAAAACTCTTACAGGTTTACCAAACGGAGTGAGTCTATGACGGATCAATCAGACGATACCATATTGAAATCACCATTGCCACCAAGTGATAAAAATAAAGGAAGCAATTCCTGACCTGGTACAAAGTATCACAGACTTAATTGTTAACAATAAGCTATTAAAAGATATCCCAAGGAGCTAAATTTAGATTTAACAAAGGTTACGTAAGTTTAGACACAGCAAGAGTCGGATTTACTAAACTAAAAACACCCTCACGATTTTTTCGCGTTTAAACGCACATAACTTCAGAAATAATGAGTGAGAATGAGGGGACAATGGGTCCAAATACTTGGATACCTTATCTCAGGTGAATGTATAATGATAGATCCAGATAAAGTGAGCCATCATCTAGACTAAAAAAACTTCTACAATCGAAAAAGGTGTTATTAAACAGCCTTCTTTTATGTTGCAATTTAGATTCCTTTACAGATGGAGTTCTATATGTATCGGACTTCTACGCTTACACAAATATAATCTAGAAATATGGGCAGCCGAAAGTGAAGAAGCCTTACATTAACAAAAGACTACCGTTTAGACTACTCCAAAAATGTATCGCCCTGTAGACGGGATACCTTTTAAGGTAGTTACTGACGCATCAGATAACGCTATAGGCGGATTACTATGTCAGGATGTTGAATACAGGCCCAGATATGTACAGTTCTTTAGTAACGGCTTATGGTGCATTATAGTCTAATTATTCTACCGTGAATCAGGAAGTACTAGCTGCCATTAGCAAAAATATCAGCCTTATAATGCTTTGAAGACTATCTATATGGTACTCACTTTAAAATGATAAGTGACCAGAAGTCTTTAGTATATCTTAGCAATATGAAGCCACCCGCCTACAGGTAAGTAAAAAGGCGTGTTCGTTTATGTCAATTTTGTTTTACAATGAAATATAAACCAGGTGTGCTTAAAATATGACGTACGCTCCTTTCAGTTCAAGCTAGGTCAGTTTTCGGTGCCCTCACTGGTCTAGGCCAGTGTCGGCCGAAATCAGTCGTACTACAGCTGCAACTGCATCGTGGTACTGTAAGAATTCACAAAGTGTTTCACCAACGCCATACAATGCACAATGTTCGGTCACTTCACTGTATTGAACATCAGAGTATATATTCACTTCGCTACTAATTTCTAGTGTATTCTGGAATTATTGACATTGCTCTTCAAAATAAAATCAATTTTGCGTAGACGTATGACTGATCCCAAGTAGCCTTATGTTCATAGCTGTTTGTTACCATCACGTCGGGTTCCACAGCAAATTGATGTAGATACAGGTTCTGTTTCGAGACTCTTCGGATGATGATACTATTTACCGCATTAGTACTAATACAGATCTGGAGGGAATGACAAAGCAAGCTCAAACGTACTTTTATATAACTCACATGAAAATACAACCGCGTGTTTATCCGAGTATGAAATCGATGCCAAAAATTGTGCTGGCTTACTTCATTATGGAAGGAGGATCTTCCTACAAATCTCTGCTTCATGGCAGCTACTTGAATTAAGTCGCGTATATTTAAATCGCAAATCGCGCATACTGTTGTGCAACGAATATAGCATTGTGGGGCGATGCCACAAAGTCGGCACATATGCTTTTCGTCGATTAGAAGTTCAATCTGTGCGAAAGCATACGGGTTGCATCGACCACAGTACTTAAATGTATGTTTCGACTCGCACACCTAAGGTATTTTCTATTCTCAATACTGAAGACGGTACAGCTATGCCCTTTAGGGTGCTGCATACTTCAATCGCTACGTTTTATGGCGATACCAACCATATTGGGTGAGTGACTCTACATTGGTACATAGCACTAAAACAAAGACACTATAGGATGACTCATAAGCAATGAAGATGGAACGAACTTTAATAATGAAACGGTTAAATACGTTTTGTACAAAAGATATCGTACTACAACTTGCGACGAAAAACCATATCGGATGACTCGCAACAGTTCATAGTATTAAAATAAATTGAGACGGTGCGGTCAAACAATGAAGACGATTATAGCGCAATCAAGGAAGACAGATAGAGATGTGCATGTATATATGTAAAAGTAATATTGCAATCAAATTTTCATCCCCACTGAAGCCGCGGTACACATCTACGCGTTGTTTATTTGAAATATCATATAAAGGAACTGAACAACACGACAGTTCATTGGTATGACAAACAACGCATCTATGTGTAGCGCGGCTTCAGTGGGAATGAAAATTTTGATTGTATTATTACTTATACATAAATTGTGATACATACACGTCTCTAACCGTCTTCAACACGGCTTGTATATTCAAAAGATGTGCTCAGAAAACAACTCTCCGGCGAGGAATACGCTCGCGAGGTCTGAGACATATGATCCATTGTCATCGACGCCTCTTCGGAAACGACCCCGTGTGATGCACATTCGGCTGATAGACATCAGCCTGCAGCGCACTCAAGTCCATATACTGAACTGATCCGATCGCAGTTGGTATTGGTTTCCTTGGCGTCAACCTTCGTTGACAACACACGATATAGGCTGATACGAGCTAGATGGACGCACGAGCCTCAACTAGTCAGAATTCTAGAACTAATCCGTGTTCAGACTTACAGAGCAACCATTGGACATTGTGAAGGAACGTATTTTGGTGCACCGTGACAGCCGTAGCCGATACTACATGTAGAGCTGACACGAAAGTCGCTACCACTGTTTGATACAATCATTGGGCAATTTACATTCCATTCTGAGATATTAAAAGTCATCGACGCATCTTATGGTCTTCTTCCTCTAGAAGTTTTGTATAAAATATGGACCAATATATGTTTTATTTCAAAGCGCCAAGAGAATGATGCAATAAATCACTTCTATTGTATCAGGTTCTTCAGACTTCAAGTGTATGTTTACATGCTTGTCATAGGTTATTGAACCCAAATATGTATTTGTATGCACCAATACACATTCATGCGAGGGGGTTCCAATTTCGCCTTTTGGTAAATTATTCATTCAAAGATCGAAAATATGTGGAAGTGAGCTTGAACCCCCTCGTTTGAAATAAAACAAAGTGAATATTTATATATATATTTTAGCAAAAGCTGGCCAATGTGTTAGTGCCCATTGCTATTGACAGCTAGTCTGTCAGATATCACAACATTAAGAGTAAGGCTAGATCAGAGTATTCATACTCACACAAGCGACAGAAACAGACCAAATCAAAGAAAGGTGCACATTAGTTTTTATTTGTTCCGTGTGTGTAAAATTTTACGCTGTTATTTCGTAAATAGTTTCTGTTCAGTGCCAGCTGCCCGATGTGAACATCCTTACCGTTCTCGTCGTGTACGATCAGCAAGACCCGTACGCCGATACTTACCGGCTGATATTCATAGCGTTGGAGTATGCTGTAACGTTCAACTATCTACCAGAATTACCTTTAGATAACTTCTATACATACAATGTCTGTGCTCGTATCCCTGAGTGTTGTGACGAAAAGCTTCATGTTGACCCACACACCCATTGATATTTCTAGTATTGGCACAATTCCTTGCTACACCATCGGTTTAGGGGCCATACCATATATATATATAGGACAACTACGGCAATGGCGATCCCATTGGACTGGGACTTGGTGTGGGTGATGGTGTGGGGGTAGGCGTCTCAGGATCAGGATCAGGATTTGCCGAAGCAAACGGACTCATACTAGGGGATACACTCGGGGTGGGTGTAGGACTGAATGTCGTACTGGGTGTCGGACTGAATGAGCTGGACGGTGTGGCTGAAGGTGAGGTGCAAACGGCAGTGTCATATGAGAATGCCTCGCGCTGGTAGCTGATTGGAGGTAGCCTGTAAGTGGTAGGATCGAAGTAGCAGGGCGTGTTAGAAAGGGAGGAGAGGGAGTGTAGGTTATTTCTGAAGTTTAGGCCCAGCATATTGTCATTATTAACTGAAACATGAAAAATGGTCATCTATTTATACAGTTAATACTAAAACTGAATACGTATAGTAGAGATCAATCGTCATTCTTTGACCGGTTATGAGGAAAGTAGAACATTCGTGCTTGGTGTGGATTCGCCTATAACTCCAAATACGACATTAAATATCTCGCACTGCATGAGAATGCGCACATACACAATGTGTGTATATGTGTGTGATTGTGTATCCATATATTCCTAAGTTGTCCGAAAAACCCATTATCGTGTTTGTGGAATACAGAGAGTTCATGAAGTTGGCTAAAGCAGACCAAAACTTACCCAGTACTTCCCCAGATGCACCTGGTGAGAGGCAACTTAGCAAAGTCGATAGTCCTGTTTGGGGATAAACGTATGAATAGCTGTTATTAAATATGTATATCAGTCAATAAATAGTGATTTAATATGCGGGTGTTTCGATACTAGCGAATAAACATATGAAGAACTGATTAATAAATATATGTGAATATCCAAACTGTGGTGATTAAATGGGTGGATAGTAGGTAAAAACAGAGCTTACGTAGTCTACAGAACGAGCCCAGCGATAACTGAACAAGCCAGTAAGGAAATGCTGATCTGAGCGATGTGTTTAAATGGAGAGTGAGTGCTTGGCTAACATCACTCGGGAAATATAACATTGAACTGTATTAAACATCGCAAATCTACTGAATACATATCTATATCTATATATATATTTATATATATATATATATATATCGTATAGATTTAACATGCTCCCGATTGGATAAACATTAAGAAGAAAAGTCGGTGTAGATACTACCACACTGTCAAACCTCGTCATTTCAAGAGAACTCTCAAAGTATTTACATTCAAAATAAGCAAAACATTAGCGGGCGCAAACCTATCTTTCGCAACTTACAGAACTTGGAGCTCAGCAAGATTGGTAAAGATATTCGGAGGGAGCTCGAAGACACCATCGAGTTGCAAAAATCTGTGTTTATGAGTGTTGGGGAAAAAAAGTAAGAAGAAAGTGTATTGCGAGCTGGGATCGATAATAATGTCTGTAATATGGTTAGACAAAGATTTTAGGGTTTTAGGGTTTAAACCAATAAAACAAATCTCCAAACTCGTGTGTGGTGGCTTCAGGCATATGTTATGAACAAGCCTGATACGAAATGGTATTGGCGGGTTATCTACGCAAAATCCGGTGTTAAGGATGTCCCTTTAAATAACTACTACGCTGTTTTGGCCAAAGAATATCGGTCACGTATTAATACATGTATATACCTATCAGTCGCACCCACCCACCCACCCACACACACACACATATATATATCTATCTATATATATATATTATATATATATATCCAGGTTGCTTGTACTTACAGATTCAGAAGCTTCGTGTTTGTCAAGAACGTGGTCGAATCCAAAAAGGTGATCTCATTGAATGACATGTCTCTGTATGGGGCGGGATCAAACCGGTTGGTGTATGATCAATACTGTGATTCAAAGCAGTGGATGTGGTAGTAGAAGTAATACGCATGCAGGTGCATACACACTTACGCACTTAACTGCCAATTAGGGAGGCACATATCAATTGCACTCGTGTACCGTCATAGTAGAATATCAAGAGCTACAGTACTAAATGTATACATTGAATATAGGCCAGCATGCTTGTATGTGGGCTAGCACGTGTATGTTTATTATGCATGCGTAGAACTATTCATATTTAGCCTAAAAACTATATGCTCCAACCGAACATGGGGATCCTCGTAAAGTATACAATTGTGGAAGGTCTGTAGCGTACCACCATCTTAGACATTCTTAGACAGCATTTATATATATATATATATATACATACACAGACATACACCCTCACACACACATATATATATATAATATACTTAATATATATATATATGGATATATACATATACATATATATTATTCAACTGCTCCTCAAAAGCCTTCAATGTCAAACCGCAGCCCCAAATACTTACAGATTTAGCAGCTCAACATTGTTGGCGAACAGGTTCGCAGGCACTGTAGATAGCCTATTTGCAGATAAATCCCTGTGAAACAATGCACATGTTCATGGGGTGAGTAACGCGTTATGTGATAAAACACATTGTACGAGACCCCAGTGAAGATGTATATATATATATATATATATATATATATATATACATGTATATAGATGGATGTAAATATTTGTGCTAAGGTAGAATGACAGCACAGGGTTGGCTAGTACATACAAATTTTGCAGACCCAAGTTGAGATCGAAGGTACCACTTGACAATGAGGTGATTTCATTCGCCGACATATCCCTGCGAGATTGTATACCAGGCGAATTGTTACATGAGACCGTAGTATAGAAGACATCACGCGATAACACTATCACCCCGTCGAGCTGCGACCAGACTGCATACAAACAACCAAACAACACACTTGTCCCATCTAAAACTCTAAATTCCTAAACCCTTTAACCCTAAAAAAAGCTTTGTTCGCGATGGTAGGTGCGTGCAGGAATGCAGCAGAAATATATAAATCAGTCTAATCCGATCACGCTTACAGGTCAGTGAGATTCGTGTTGGCGTTAAACAGAGTCGAGGCCAACGCCGTCAGATTGTTCGAACTTAAATCCCTGTGTTATTTAGGACAAATAGCCATATTGGAACAATTAGGACAAAAAGTCATGTTGGAAAAATTAGGACAAGATGCCATGTGGGAGAAATTAGGACAAGAAGTCATGTTGGAAAAATTAGGACAAGATGTCATGTGGGAAAAATTAGGACAAGGAGTCATGTTGGAACAATTAGGACAAAAGTCATGTTGGAAAAATTAGGACAAAAAGTCATGTTGGAACATATAGGACAGTTGTTGTATACAGTAATAAAAGATACGTAGACTGAAAGCAACTGGAACTCCGGTGTAAATACACAACAAATTGCATCCAAGAGGGGATCAAAATCTTAAAGAGGAAGAGAAGCAGAATTTTGGCAGCAAATTGGCCAAGTTAAGTGACAATATACGAATTTCCATTGCAATTCCCAATTTCCAATTACTTACAGTTTCTGTAGATTGGGGTTGGACTCAAACTGGCGCACGTCCATTTGCGTAAAACCACACTCGGCACACGAGCTGTCAAATGATATGGAAATCAAAATCAGAAAAATGCTCGTATACGTGTACGTAAACAAGGTAGAATGATGCGAGTATACGTATATGTAAACAAAGTAAAATGATGCTCGTATACGTATACGTAAACAAAGTTGAATGATACGAGTATACGTATTTGAGAACCATTTAGAATGATGCACCAACGCACAGATATCAGTCTATTTAGAATCAGTTACCGGTGGGCCTACAAGCATAGACCACATGTACATATGCTTCAACGCATTCATAAACACGTTGGTATCCTCATACGCACTAAAGTGAACATATGTACATAGTGGCCAAGCAAATATAGATACGTGTGTCCACTACGCCATAGTCAGTAGAGCTCCTCTACTCACTAAAATCACGCTTTCTTTACGTTTTCGGATATATTTACGTATACGTACAAATATATACTTGTATACTGACACAACCAGCACCAGCATGTTGCTGAGACTAGACATACAATTCTTGTAGAGTGTTGAGGTCCGACAGGAAGGTGCTTTGCAAAGTAATGGTGTTTAAGCTCAGGGATCTGTGGTATCAACATGGAATATGAATTAGTTTAGAATGTACGACAGAATTGAGTTTAATCAAAGCAACAGATAACATATGTGTGATTAGAATACAGAAATCAGATGGGTATTTATATACACACACACTATATATATATGTACATATATATATATATATATACATAAATATAAATATGTATATATATATATGTATATATATATGTATATATATATATATATATATACATATATATAGATACATACACACGCACACACACACACACACACATACACACATATATATATATAGTATATGTAATATATATATACACACACACAGACACCCATATATATATATATAATATACATGTACATGTAGATATGTATATACTCGACAATCCAGACAAGTCTTACAATTTTTGGATCTCACTTAAACCACTGAAAACGCCGTTCTGGAGATCGGTTAAAGAATTCTGGCTCAGGTCTCTGAAAAAAGAAATCCAATCGAATTCGAATTTGGGTTGAGATTTGACGAGAATGAGGCATTGCAATAAAGAGAATGATCCAGTTCACAACCCAAAGCCATCCCAGTACTGCTCAAAGGTTTAGCAATACTATTCTTAAAACCTTCAAGAAAAACTCCGAAGCATTTTCGCATCCCTTTGTGCCAGGCAGACATGCTCAACTTACAAGTCGTTTAGCGTTGCCAAGTTGAATGTGGCGGAGGACAGCAGCTGTATGTTATTATTGGAGAGATCTCTGCGACAGGTACGATTTCAGTAACAGGTGGGAGGTATCAGTGGTTAGCCAATGGATGATTAGTTGATAGCACGGATCAACAACTCAAATGCACATGCGGTTGGGTATTTACAGGCAATGTCCCAAACTACATATCGCCCTGGCTGGACCAACCGCTATGGAAGTGAACACATACATCACTAACCTTAGTCCATTCTGATATTTATGGACGATCTCAAACTACTGGAAGCTCAGACAATCATTAAGATGTAAAGACATACACGACAATTGGATATTGTATTCTATATATATATATATACACGCATACACACACACACACACATACATATATATATATACTAATATATTTATATCAATATATGAATATATATATATATTTGTATATATGTACATATTTATATTATGTAGTATATACGTATATATAGTATATAGTATATATATATATATATATATAAGTATAATATATATATTATAATATAA